GGAATACACTTGAACTGTCCTTGGGTCTAGACAGAGTATCAGGCTGCTGCCCAGACTGTCATGACAATTTGCTTCCCATATGTAACCCTGATTAAGCCATATTTATTATTATTATTATTAAACTTTTGAAGGGTAGAAATGTTATAAACCCCTCAAGGAAACTGTCAAGTAAAAACTGCATAAGGGGAAGTTAAATAAGTAAGAAAGACTTTATTCAAGGATACTTCATGAGGAGAGAGATGACAGAACCTAGTCTGAGCTCAAACTGGGGAGTTTTAAGGGCTGGAATCACAAGACAATTTTTTTTTTCTTTTTGCTAATTGGTGTTACTGGAAGGAGAAGTGAATGTTCTAATACCTTCCTGACAGGAGGTTGTTTTAGACCTTGAAGAAAGGTGCCAACTGAAGTTCAACCCCTAACCTCTAACCTTCCAGGGAAGCTGGGAGATTGGGACATCGTCTTCCTTGATGATCATATTTCAAGGGGATGGTGACCAGGCCCTTAAAAAAGACAATCTTGGGTTGTGAATCTGGCAAGAGGTTTTCTGAAAGATTTTCATCTCAAAGAGGCAGAAACAAAATTGGTAATTCCAAGCTTTCTAAAATAAATTATCTAAGAAAAGAGAAAACAGGGCCTAGAATCTTATCCAAAGTTTACTCAAGCTGAGGAAACAGCAGGGCCATCTTGGTAAATATGTACATCATAAGACATCCTCAGTGCAGCTGAGCTATTATGATTAATATAATGATCATTATCTTCACTTTATGTTTTCCCACTTGCAATTTGGCTTTATACACTTTCTCAAAGGGAGGCTGTAAACTGTCTAAAAATATTTATTTTCTTGTGTTTCAAAAAAGAAATGCTTCTCCTCTCATGAGATCAATGATTCATTACATTAGTTGTCTCTTTTTTCACTTAAAAAAGATTTTTTTTCACTGCACTTTACACTTGAAAGGAATTCAACATTAAAGTTTGAAACTTTCCCTCACATTAGTCTTATTTGCTCTAATTAAAACAAGATTAGCTGACATTCACAAGTCATTTACAAAATGTATAACTGCATTCTGAGAACATATCTAATTATATAGACAACATGGGAAATTGCAAGAAGATATTGAAATTTACCCTAATATTTTCTTACACTATTGTCTTCAAAGCTTCACTAATGAACAGTTATTAACATATTCTCTGTGAATTAGAATCTCGCTATCTTTCATTTCATCTTTTCAACTGAACAGCAGAGCTTCCTAAAAAACATATACACAATTAAAACGGAAGTGTCAGTAGAGAGAATCAACACTATGAGAAAGTGTTTTGTGCTGGAATGCTTTTACAAACTTACATGATTTCATTTAATCTGCATGGCTATACAGTTGACTGACTATATTATTCTTATTTCACAGTTGAGAAATTTGAAGCTCAGTGATGTTAAATAACCTAACCAAACAAAATAGTCTAGTAAATAAAAAAGAATCAAATCTCTGACCCTCATCTGTGATCTGTAATTTCCATATACTTATCATTAAGAGGTAGGTACAGAAGATGTGGTAAGTCATTTTGGAAAATCATATTAAATACCAGAATATACATTTATATTTGGCATATTGAAATATGTTTATAATACAAGTGGTAGAAAGTAAAGTTCTAAATGAAAAGTTCAAAATAAAATTATTTCCATTTGAAGGTCAAGTAATCTCGTTGAAGAAAATGAGAGAATCTTGTTTTGTTGGGAGATATTTACTTTTCTGTAAAGAAAAAATATTAGAAAATATAGAGACTCTCACCTATTCTCTAAAGCTTGTTTGCTATACCATTTTGGAAGAAGTGGTACAATTTTTAAAAACAAACATAAAGATCACCACGCACAGACCATGTAAAAGATAATGAACACTGCATGTGATGGTCGGCACCTTGGGACATAGGCACAGAAGTTTCAGATCTTGGAGAGACGGTAAAAAAAAAGGAGTCAACAGGAAGAACCTATAAACTCCTCGCAATAAGCCGCAGGCTCCTTTAGGGAGATGGGGAAGAGACGGAGAATGTTAGAACCCTGCCTCTTCCTACCACTAACAGTAATCTTAATGATCTTGGAAGCAGATTATTCTCCAGTCTCTGATAAGAAAGCACCTTTTTTTTTAACACCTTGCTTTAACCTGGTGAGCCCTATATTTGATTAAATCTACAGAACTGTGAAATAATATGCTTATGTTGTTCAAACCACTAATTTTTGTGGAGATTTGTTAGGAAGTTATAAAAAACTAATATACCACATTCACCTTAGTTCATCTCTGAATTCATTCTCCCACTAGTTCAAGATACCTTTAAAACATGTTTCCTGAATTTGTTTATATTTGCTGTGTTAGGTGAGCTTTTCATTTCTTATCTCCTCTTCTCAGGTAAATTGCAACTTCCTCAGAGATAGAGACACAGACTAATCCACTGTGGTTGATATATTGTTGTTGTTTGCTCACTAAGTTATGTCTGACTCTTTTGCGACCCCATGGGCTGTAGTCTGCCAGGGTCCTCTGTGAGTGGATTTCACAGGCAAGAATCTGGAGTGGGTGGCCACTTCAAGGATCGCATCCAAGTTCGATCTTGCATTGTAGGTTGATTCTATACTGCTGAGCAAATAAATGACACAAAATTATTCTCAGATCTGGCTCTATCACTCTTGGATTTTTCAAGACCAAGAAAATCAGTGGATTTAGGTTCCCAGTGTCTCTGTGTATAAACATGGGTATAACTGTGAATATTTTTTTTTCAAAATGAAGATATAATGTATGCGAAGTACCTACATTCCTATGAGAGGTGTGGTGCCTGGTAGGTACACCATGATTACTGATGACCACACTGTGTCACATGGCCCTAGAAACCCTCGCTCCTTAAAGTGGGGAAGTCTCACTGTGAATGTGGCAAGTGAAACATTTTAAGCCAGCAACCACAATAACTCCTCATGTCATCTAATTTTAAAAAATGATTGTTTAAAACAGGCTGCATTTGCACTACTTCCACATTCTGACACTAACAAATTGTTTCCTACATAATTGAAAAGTAATTCTTCACTGAATTACCCATTAACTGTGCTATTTTCTTTAGACTGCTCACAAAATAAATAAAGCTTGAGTTTAAGAAAGAGTGATAATAAATTCTGTCACTCTCTTAGGCTTTAAATGATGGATTCCTGTTAGGTGTGATTGTGGATTCACGGCACTAAATGCTGTCTCGGGCATTTCATCTGACCTTGTGTTAATACTGATAGAAAGTAGGCAATATTAAGGTGTCTATTCCCCCAAATAAAAGGAGAGGTATAAGAGAGGAGATAACTGTGTTGAATGTCAGAACTGAATGATCCTGTGAAATACATGTATATTTCAGTCAAGATTTTATGGAAATGGAAATCTGAAAGGATATCTATTTTCTACTATGCAATAAATGCTTAGAATACACAAAAAGTGACAGATTGCCCTGAGCAGACTTGGAGCAATAATTGTGTGCATGCATAATTACCAAGCTAAAAAGAAAATTTTAACTAAAGCATGAAATTTCAAAGACAAATGACTTTCTGCCCTACTAGAACTATCTTCAATAATTTCCAAAATTCGATAAACTCCACGAATGGATTTAATGAAGTCAGTGTTACTATCCTTTCCCCCCAAAATAGGAATGTTCAAGTAAAGAATAACTTGATGATTTCTTTGATGTTTGGTTAACTCTTAGATTTCTAGCTTTTGCATTCTTTTACATTTCAACTTTTTAGGGTTTTATCATATTTTTTTCATTACCAGTTAGAAAATCATAAATTGACATCTAATATCTTAGTAGTCACTTAAAAAATGCTCTAGTATATTCATATTTACACAATACCTAAATTTGAAGTATAAATACCTAAATTAATCAGTATTATAAATCTTCTACTTTGTAATTCAAGAAACTTAAACATCCATAATTTAAATTGCTCATTTCATAAGTGAGACCTGGGATCTGACTTCCTCTATTCCCTACAAATTAAATATTATAAAACATTTAGTAAAACACATTAACATTAATGAAATGCAAACAAGAATGAAAAACTGTGCAGGCCAAACATGTTTGTTGGCTAGATTCTGCCCTCAGTCTACGAGTTTGCAATCTCTGATTTATGAGTTTCTTTAACAAAGCTTTTAAAGTAATAAAATATCAGTTGGGAAGAATTGAACTAAATAGAAATTAACTGCAGACTTTTCAGTAAATGGTTAATTGAAACAAATTTCATAGCGATGGCATCTACTAGCAGAGCTATAATTAAAGTGAAATTCTAGTAGATTTTAGCTATTATTCAAAATGAAGTACTTCGTAAATTCACATTATGGTTAAGGAAAATATTTCTATTACGGTTAGCACAGCTTCCTGGCTCTCATACTTAATAATGCATTGGAAACACTGTTTCCAAAAAGCTTTATTTGCAAAATTCTTCATTTTCAAATTTTATTGCTATTTTGGTAGCAAAAGAATAATATAGTCATTTTAATATGTCATAACCTTTTTTTCTCCTTGAATATAAAAATCTTATCAAAGTACAATTAAAAGTAGAATAAGATTTTTTATTTAATTTTGAAATCAGTTGTTCTCGTTTCTTTCACAGCATCAGCAAGTATTCTCACTCTGGAGTAAAACTTCCTTAACTGCCAGGGTCAGTGAAGAGGGTGAGTGGCTTTGTCCAGACAAGGCACATGAGGTTCAACTTAATTATCTAAATTCACTAACCGCCGTTTTGTCATCTAAGATGGAGATAATGACATTCTTGTATTGCGGGCAAAACCTGTTCACAATTCCCACGAAATAAAAATGAATCTGGGTAATAAAGTCTAACTACCCGCCCCCCCCCCCCCCCCCCGCTTTGAACTTAGTCCATTTCACTTGCTTGTAGGGTTCGCTTGCAGAGGCCTCAGAGACCAACGTTCCTCCTTTTAAAAGGACACGCCCCACACCTCAGCTTCCTTGCTCTTCTGAGGCTATCCAAGATGGCGGCAGTAGGCTGTGTGCAGAGCGTCTGCACCTGGCGCTACCATCTGCGCCATCTGCGCCAGGCTCGCGAGAACTCCGCCCTCAGAGGAGACCCTATCAAGCAGCCCCGCCCACCACCAGTCCGGAGCACTTGTGCCCTGGAGCTCAAGCTCCCAGGTCTGTGTTCTCTTATCAAAGGTAAAACTTCCCTTTGCTTCTCAACTGAACTTGATCTCTTTTTGGCTCCAAAGACAGCAGACAGAGGATGCTCCTTAGGGGTGGACTTGAGAATACTGGTAACATTTTCTTAAGTCTGCTGCTGCTGCTAAATCGGTTCAGTCGTGTCCGACTATGTGCGACCCCATAGATGGCAGCCCACCAGGCTCCCCCTGTCCCTGGGATTCTCCAGGCAAGAACACTGGAGTGGGTTGCCATTTCCTTCTCCAATGCATAAAAGTGAAAAGTGAAAGTGAAGTCGCTCAGTCATGTCTGACTCTTAGCGACCCCATGTACTGCAGCCTACCAGGCTCCTCCGTCCATGGGATTTTCCAGGCAAGAGTACTGGAGTGGGGTGCCATTGCCTTCTCCGTTCTTAAGTCTAGCTCTCTATATTAAATATTTTAACACCTGTTGTGTCGCAAAAAGTAGTGCTTGTCAAAGAAAAATAACTAACAAAGTTGTTATTTAACTAACAATAATAACTAACAAAATAACTAACAAAAATAACAACCAAAGCTTGTCGATTTTTTGTCGCTCGGTCGTTTCCAACTCTTTTGTGACCCATGGATTCCCAAGGCAAGAATACTAGAGTGGTTGCCATGCCCTCCTCCACGGGATCTTCCTGACTCAGGGATTGAGCTCACATCTCCAGCTAGGCAAGTGGATTCTTTACCACTGAGACACTGGGGAATCCTTAACAAATGTTAGCTCATATGATTATTTGTCATATTCCAGATAAGTAGTAAAATCTTCTTGGATAAGTTGCCTTCTGTTTTCTCATGAGATATTAATAAGAAAAAAATTGCGATGATAAATGAATAAGAAAATACTCAAAGAAAAAGTGTGGATTTTTAAAATCTGAATAAAATATTTAGTTTATAAGGTCTTTGTTTTCAAAATCTCAGGAGAAATGATAATAGCTTTCTACATCACTTGAAGAATGTTACCTGAATCATTTTCAACATTTTGTTTTAAACTGCACGAAATTGCATGACAATGTCTGTGATAATTATGGTAGATGCATTCAAAGACACAACTTGTTAAGTCTTTTGATTTTCACTTTGTTATGAAAAATTTTTAGCATATAAAAAATATAGACTAGTATTACAAACACCCAAGTGCTTGTTACTTACACAGTTGCCCATCATTGTCTGTGAGGGTTGGTTCCAGGGCTCTCTCAGATACCAAAATCCCCAGATGCTCGTCTTTTATCATAGAGTAAAATAGCATGGTATTGATATGTAATATATATATATATACATTCTCCATATACTTTAAATCCTCTCTAGATTACTTATAATACTTCATACAAAGTAAGTGCTATGTAAGTAGTTAGAAATACAGTGCAAATGATGTATAAATAGTACAGTTGCCTTCTAGAGTGTGGCAGACTTGAGTTTTACTTTTCTGGAATTTTTTTGAATTTTTTTTCTGAATTTTTCTGATAGGTGGTTGGTTGAAAATGTGGATATAGAGTCCTTGGATAGGGAGGTCAGCTGTATTTCTAAGTGCTAACATTTTGTATATTTGCTGTGTCTATTGTTAGTTTGCTGAAATGCTTTCAAGTAGAGACATCATACAATTTTATCCCTCATATTGTAATAAATAATTTAACAAGCAAATATTGAATTTTGATTTTATGCTAATGTGTATGCTTAGGCCAGTCACAAGGTAAATAGCTAGTCTGTGAGCAATCACATGAAAATTGCACAGTACCAGCTGACAGTGTATTGTATGTGCATGCTCAGTCATTCAGTCGTGTCTGACTCTTTGCAACGCCAGAGACTGTAGCCCGCTAGACACCTCTATCCATGGAATTTTCCAGGCAAGAATACTGGAGTGGGCTGCCATTTCCTACTTCAGGGGATCATCTTGACCCAGGGATTGAACTTGCATCTCTTGTGACTCCTGCATTGGCAGGCAGATTCTTTACCCCTGGGCCACCTGGGAAGCCCTGACAGTGTAATGCTGCTGCTGCTAAGTCACATCAGTCGTGTCCGACTCTCTGCGACCCCATAGATGGCAGCCCACCAGGCTCCTGTCCCTAGGATTCTCCAGGCAAGAACACCGGAGTGGACTGCCATTTCCTTCTCCAGTGCATGAAAGTGAAAAGTGAAAGTGAAGTCGCTTAGTCATGTCTGATTCTTAGCGACCCCACGGACTGTAGCCCATCAGCCTCCTCCATCCATGGGAATTCCCAGGCAAGAGTGCTGGAGTGGGTTGCCATTGCCTTCTCTGACAGTGTAATAGTCAACCACAAATTTATCAGGATTATTACATGTATGCCATGTCCATTGTCTGTGTATTATGTAATATGTATTACATATTATTATCTGTAATGCCATGAGACAAAAATACTTCTATTGATATTTTATCCCATTTTATTTTAAATGCATTTTATTTTAAAAGCAAAGTTAACCATTTTATTAGAAATTAAGATAAATGTGGTCATAATTTACATTTGGAAAAACCTTCCTTATTTTATTCTTTTCACTTTAACAAGGTGATTTTGTTAAGTGTTGTACCTACTGTAGTTTTTTTGCTGTATTCAAAAATTTCACTACCTATATTTAAAAAAGCAGTAAACTTAAAATTAAGAGTATACAGCATGAAGCTGTGCCCTGACCACTTCATTCAATTTACTTATGTTTTTGAATACAGACAGAAACATTCCTGTTATGAGTTTATCATCATACCTATCAGGGGTAGACTAAAGACTGAAATGATGCTAGGTATTTTCAAAAAATAGCTTTACACAATAAAATCCTATTCCACAGCTGGGAATTATATTCGACATCCTGTGATAAATCATAATGGAGAATAATAGAAAAAAAGAATATATATATACATATATAGATAGATAGATAACTGAATCACTTTTCTGTACAGCAGAAATCAGTCCAACACTGTAAATCAACTATACTTCAACTTTAGAAAAGAAAAAGTGTTTAAATATATGTCTTTAGTTACAAAGTTGCTTCTAAGGCAATAAGAACAAATGAAAGATGGTGTGTAAAAGAACTTTTGGACATATTAAATTTTTTTAAGTTACAGTATATCTAGATAATAAAAAATTTGGCATACTTATCCAAACTAGCACATATTAAACACTGTACTCAACAAGTATAGAATGACATTATTTTAAGGAGTTCATGGAATATTTACCAAAATTGACCGTATGCCAGGCTATTAAAAAAAGGCTTAACTTACCTTAAGGGATAGAAATTATACAATAAATATTTTCTGACTTGAATGAAGATAAGCTAGACGTCAGTAATTAAAAGGTATCTACAAAATATCCAGCTGATTATAAATAAAGTAATAAAATTCTGAATAATCCATTGGTCAAAGAAGAAATTAAAATTTAAGTTAAAAATTATTTTGAAATGAATGGTAGTGAAAATATAACATGAAAACTAGAGGAATTTACATTCATCTTACTCCTATTTTGAGAAATGACTCAAAAACTATCTCATTACTAAGAAAAAAAATTGTTAACATCAATAGCAAAATACCAATTTTTACAGAGAGGCAATGACTGAAGAAAGTAATAAAAATTAAAACTATTGTTAAAACATATACATAGATATAGACCCTTCAGATTGTTTGGATGGTTAGCCAATTTTATTCTTCCTTTCTTAACAATATGTCAGCTATGAAATCATGTGTTGCTACCTACTAGATTGCCTACATTATATAAGAAATTCAATAAGTATTTGTTGAATTAATATAGTGCTATAAAACTAACATTTTCCCAAAATTATGTTAGTGTTCAGAGTTTTTATGTCTATCTTTGCCTATTATGTTTCCTGATCTTTGACAGCTCTTCTCTTTTGTAATTGAAAAATCACTCTTCCTTCAAGGACCTCACCTCAAATGTCATCCCTCGATCTTTCTGCAGTATGGTGCATGTAGCTCTTGAGATAAAGGGAATTATAAACATGTAAAGCCTTATTGTCATTATGTGCCAAATGCCTCAACCCATATTTTTAGATAGGAGAACTAGCACTGAAAATGTCAGCATTCATTGTTACTAAATTCATTACCCTCAAATTCTTATGTTCTCACATCAACATCATGATATTATGATTTTAGCTATTCTTCTTTTTTTAATGGATAATTGTTTGGAATTTTGTTGTTTTCTGCCCAGTATCAACATGAGTCAGCCTTAGGTATACATAGGTCCCTTCGCTCTTGAACCTCCTTCCCATCTCCCATCCCATCCCACCCCTCTAGATTCTTACAGAGCACCTGTTTGAGTTCCCTGAGGCATGCAGCAAAGTCCCCTTGGCTATCCTATTTTACATGTGGTATTGTAAGTTTCCATGTTACTCTCTCCATACAACTTGCCTTCTCCTTCCTCACCTCCCCACTGTGTCCCTAAGTCTGTTCTCTATGTCTGTTTTTCCACTGCTGTCTTGCAAATAAATTCTTCAGCACCATCCTTCTAGATTCCATATATATGAGTTAGAATATGATATTTATCTTTTCCTTTCTAACTTACTTCACTCTGTATAATAGGCTCTAGGTTTATCCACCTCATTAGAACTGACTCAAATGTGTTCCTTTTTATGACTGAGTATTATTCCATTGTACGTATGTACCACGGCTTCTTTATCCATTCATCTGTGGATGGGCATCTAGGTTGCTTCCATGTTCTATCTATTGCAAATAGTGCTGCAGTGAATATTGGAGTATATGTTTCTTTTTCAATTTTGGTTTCCTCAGGGTATATGCCTTGTAGTGGGACATATGGTGGTTTCATTCCTAGTTTTTTTATGGAATCTCCATGCCACCTTCCATAGTGGCTGTATCAGTTTACATCCCCACCAGCAATGCAAGAGGGTTCCCTCTTCTCCACACCCTCTCCAGCATTTATTGTTTGTAGGCTTTTTGATGATGGTGATTCTGGCCAGGTGAGAGGTGGGTAACTCATTGTAGTTTTGATTTGCATGTCTCTAATAATGAGTGATGTTGAGCATCTTTTCATGTGTTTATTAGCCATCTATATATCTTCTTTGAAGAAATGTATGCTTAGTTTTTTTCCCGCTTTTTGATTAGGTTGTTTATTTTTCTGGTATTGAGTTGTATGAATGGTTTATATGTTTTGGAAATCATTTCTTTCTTGTTTCCTTTACTATTATTCTTCTTCTACTCTTTATTTTAGCAATCATACATGTGATCTTTCAGTGTACCTAGAGCAATGTGGTATATACTATATGTGACATGTATGGCTTCACTCAAATCATCTTCATTCTTCTTTTCCTTTGTCTCCATGGAACAGAATGGGCTTCCCTGGTGCCTCACACAGTAAAGAAACTGCCTGCAATGCAGGAGACCCGGGTCCGATACTTGGGTCAGGAAGATCCCCTGGAGAAGGGAATGGCAACCCACTCCAGTGTTCTTGCCTAGAAAATTTCATAAACGGAGGAGACACACATAGAAGAGAATACCCCAGAAATCCCAATACTTTGTCATCACAATATAACAAGAATATCAGTTTGTAGAGACCAATTTGTAAAATGAAATTTACCAATACATATGCCTAGCAGCAACTTCAAGTACAGTTTGAACATGCTTGAAAAAAGTTTCACTAGCTAAACCTTATATAGTTGTAAGGTTTGTACAATTTCACTAACTAAACCTCATAACTGATTTGTACTCTGAATCTTTATTTACATAAGTTAGGTTCCTTGTTCCATTTCTCTGGGAGGGTGACTTAAGCTAAGTGTCTCAAGTTTCTATCAGCTAAAAAGCATTATAAGTTTAAAAATTGTTAAAATTACAGTCCTAGTTCAGTTTCCCTAATAATATAATAATAGTATAAAATCCTGTTGTTCATTGTTGTTTTTGTTTAGTAGCTAAGTCATGTCCCATTCTTTTCAACCCCATGGACTGTAGCCTACTAGACTTCTCTATCCATGGGATTTCCCAGACAAGAATACTGGAGTGAGTTACCATTTACTTTTCCAGGGGATCTTCCTGACCCAGGGATTGAACCCACATCTCCTACATTGTAGGTAGATTCTTTACCACTCAACCACCAAGAAAACTCCATAAAATCTTGAGTAGCCTCCAATAAGATTGATGATCTAAGAACAAAGATCAGATTTACCTTCTCATCTTATAGGAAAAAAAAAGACTAAACTTCTAAAAAAAATGATTTTCAAGACATTGAGCAACAAAGGACTGTAAACTCTGTGATACAGAAAATGGATGCTATATAAAGAGTCTTCCTCTCAAAAACAAGAAGTGAGAACATGAGGACATGATTATTGTAATAAGAAATCAAGACAGCTTCCCCAAATAGGCAAAAGAACTCTGCAAAATCTCAAATAACATTGAGAAATGCTGGAGAATAAATCGATGTAGCTGTTCTTGCTAAGAAATGCAAGCACAATTATGAATGTTAAAAGAATTACTATAGCCTCTATGTGGCATGTAACTCAAAGGAAACATTAAATTTCCATCATTGGTGTGACCTGTTTTTGTTGTAACGTTCTCATCCTGAAACTTTGCCCATTAGGGTGGCACTTCCCATTCTGTGATGCTGTAATTAGCCACTAGTCCTCAGATGGTAAAGAATCTGCCTGCAATGCAGGAGACCCCAGTTAGATCCCTTGGTTGGGAAGATCTCCTGGAGAAGGGAATTGCAACCTACTTCAATATTTTTGCCTTGAGAACTCCATGGACAGAGGAGGCTGGTGTGCTACAGTCCATGAGGTTGCAAAGAATCAGAAATGACAGAGCTACTAATACTTTCACTTTTTAATGATGGCCCTAACCCGCCTTTAAAATTTCAGTCCCTTTTCAGGCCTTGTCATTCTGGGCTACTCTAAGAAGGCCATAAATCCTAACAGTGAGGAGAATTATTCTTCATTTTCTCACTCAAAGTATTATTAGCAACTGAAGATTTTTGAAAGCCTTTATTCCCTAGTGTATCCAGGCAGACCATTTTATTATTTCAGACTTTGACTAAAATTTTATTGCCATGGTACTTCTGGAATGAAACAAGATAAGAAAAAATGTATAATTCTTCAGCTTTAATATTCTTCTGTCCAGTTCAATATCATGGTATAAGAAAAAGGTCTATCTTTTCACAAAAAGCTTTTTTAAAATGTCTTTTAATTGCTCAATTCAATGAGAGGGGATTGATAAAATTTTCTTGCCAACACACACACATATACATATATATATAACATGTATATATACATACATATATATATACATATATATATATAACATATACATATAACATATATGTATATGTTAATATATTAACATTCTGTATTTGGCACCTCCTATATAGCCAGAAAGTGTTCTAAGTGCTAGTTTAAAAATTAATATATTTTATTATCAGCCTGGGTACAAACAGAAAACAGAATCCAGACACAAATTTGAATCAGGAAGATTTCACATTTTAAAAATTACAGTAACTTCCCTACATAGGAGCCCTCAAGTTGTAAACTTTCAAAAGAAGCTAACAGGCATTCCACCAACATCAGGCGTAAGTGAAATTGCAGCTTGCTCACCATCTCCTATTGCTGACAGTCCTTTAGCTCTACCATCTCCCACCTCTTCTCCCTCCTGCCTCAGTAACTCTTCTCGCCTCTTCACTTGATGCCAGCCCCTATGTCAGCTGCTGTTTTGTTCTTTTCAAGCTACTGTTGCTGTTCAGTCACTAAGTCATGTCTAACTCCTTGAGACGCCATGGACCACAGCACGCCAGGCTTCCCTGTCCTACACCATCTCCCAGAGTTTGCTCACACTCATATCCATTTAGTCAGTGATGCCATGCAGTCATCTCATTTTCTGTCACCCTCTTTTCCTCCTGCTCTCAATCTTTTCCAGCATCAGGGACTTTTCCAATAAGTCGGCTCTTTGCATCAGGTGGCCAAAGTATTGGAGCTTCAGCTTCAGCATCAGTCCTTTCAGTGAATATTCAGGGTTGATTTGCTTGTACTGTAAGATTTAAAATGTTTTCTTTATTTTTGTTTTTCATGCATTATTTGTGTGAAAAGTATTATAAATGTATTACATTACAGTGCTTTAGAGCTGATTGTGTTAGTTGGGTATCTAGGCTAGTTTTTTTGGACTTACAAACAAATCGGACTTAACAAAACACTCTGTAGATGGAAAGTCATATTAGGGGACTTACTCTATTAACTATAATAGGGAATTGGAGTAACAGGGTATTGGCTCATGGTCAAGAGAGGGCTTCCCAGGTGGCCCTAGTGGTAAAGAACCCACCTACCAATGCAGGAGACAAAAGAGATGCAGGTTCAGTCCCTGGGTTGGGAAGATCCCCTGGAGGAAAGAATGGCAACCCATTCCAGTATACTTGCTTCCATGGACAGAGGAGCCTGGTAGGCTACAACCCATAGGGTCTCAAAGAGTCTGACACGACTGAAGTGACTTAGCACATACACACACACACGCACACACACACATACAAGTAAAGAGACCACTAAATATTATGGGAATAGTGAATAAGGAGCAAGCGCTAGTCCTTGGGTGTTTTATCTCAATAGTGTACGCCACCCCCAAGTTTGTGATACAAACCATAGTGGAGGTCACAACTGTGGTCCCCTAGATGGCAGAGAAGCCACTAAACTGCCATCTGGATGACCTTGAGCATGCCTTCTAGGGTTCCAGAGAAAGCTTCATGGGTGGCGACCCCCAAGACGTTGCTAAACCAAGTCAAAGGAGTTGCCCATAAGGTGACCAATCTCATTATGGTCTATTTGAGAATGTCCCAATTATAAATAGAAAGTCACATATTCCATGGGTCTCCTCAATCTTGAGTAAATCATTATGGATGGTCACTGAGTTTCTGGAAAAACTTTCTTACCATACGTTGTTGTTGGTCCCTGTGCATTCCAGGGGCAGAGCGCTGGAGAAAGGGCATGCATTTGTGGAGCCTGGTGCTGGGGGAGCTGTCCATGCAGGTACTTGGCACGGTGGGAGCCATGTGCTGCAGGAGCAGAAGGCTGGAGAAGCTGCTGATGTTGCCGGAGCCAGGCACCAGCATATGCATGCTTTCACAGCCCACCTGAAGTCCACAGCAGAACAGTAGGCTAATCCCTGCCCTCCTGCCATGTCTCTTCAGTACTCTCTACTGACAAAGTTCAAGATCCAGCCAACTTGCAAAGAAAAAAGTATTTAAATGGTGTAGAGCAGTTGTTATATCATAAGCAGAAAGGGTATAATTGAAACTGAGAGGCATTAAACCTATTACCAGCACATCGTAAATGTTATTTTCGAGTCTAGAATGCTTAGTCTAATTCTGAAGGTGCTATCTAATAAGTTATAGGTTCTAAGACTAGCATCCCAGAATGTGAGTTTACTCGAGTTTTTTTTTTCTTTCCTGCCTTTATTTATTGCATTCTACATTTTTAAATTTTTTAAAAAATGTTATTGATGTGTAATTGACACATGATTGTATCAGATTCTGGAAAACAGCAAAATGATTTGATATTTGTATATATTGCAAAATGATCACCACAAAAATTCTAATTAGCATCCCTTACTATACATAGTTGCAATTTTTTTTCTTATTGTGATATGTGAACTCTTAAGATCAATTCTCTTAGAAACTATTACATACAGTATTATTAATTTTAATTGTCATGCTGTGCATTATATTACAAGCCTTTTTTATTTTATAACTAGAACTTTGTATCTTTTGATCCCCTTTACCCATTTGATCCATGACCACTCTTCTTCTGACAACCACCAATCAGTTCTCTACATTTATGACCTTATTTTTGACTTCCATACATAACCAAGATCATATGCATTTATCTTTCTTCTACCTTACTTATTTCACTTAGCATAATGCCCTTAATATCCATCTATGGTGTAACAAATGGCAAGATTTCTTTCTTTTTTTATGACAATAACATATAATACATATTATTTATATATATGTAAAATTTATCCATCCATTGATGGATTTTTAAACTGTTTCCATATCTTAGCTATCATAAGCATTGTTACAGTGAACATGAGGTTGCATATATATTTTTGAGTTAGTTTTTTCATTTTTCTTTAGATCTTTAGATAAATACCCAGAAATGGAATTGCCAGGTTTTATATATATGTATATGTAGCTCCAATAGTAAAGAATCTGTCTGCAATGCAGGAGACTTGGGTTCAATGCCTGGGTTGGGAAGATCCCCTGGAGGAGAGCATGGCTACCCACTCTAGTATTCTTGCCTGGAGAATTCCCATGAACAGAGGAGCCTGATGGGCTGCAGTCCATGGGGTCACAAAGAGTCAGACACAACTGAGCAACACACACACACACACAAATATGTGTGTATGTGTATATATATATACATATATATTGGAGCTTCCCTGGTAGCTCAGATGGTAAAGCATCTGCCTACAATGCAGGAGACCCAGGTTCGATCCCTAGGATGGGAAGATACCCTGGAGAAGGAAATGGCAACCCACTCCAGTATTCTTGCCTGGAGAATCCCATGGACAGAGGAGCCGGTGGGCTACATTCCATGGGGTCGCAAAGAGTCGGACACAACTGAACAACTTCACTCATTTCACTCACTCATACATATATATATATATATATATGTATATAATAGTTCCTGCTTATTTTTTTGAGGAACATCTATAGTGTTTTCCATGGTGACTGCACCAATTTATATCCTCACCAACAGAGTACAAGGGTTTCCTTTTCTCCACATCCTCATCAACACTTGTTATTTCTTATATTTTTGAAAATAGCCATTCTGATAGGTGTGAAGCAGACCTTGGTTTTAAAGTTTTTAATGCTAAAAGTAACTATGGTTTTACCAAGGTTCTGATTTAAGTGTGCAGACAAAAACTATGGCTGATAGCTTCCATAATTTCAGCGAGTACTGTCTTAACCCCAGACAGAAACACCTGAGTGGAAACATTTATTAACATTTATTAGTATGATTTATATCTTACTTGTCATGGAATAAAGAGAATTTTATTTATTTCTAATCAAGAGTCCAGCACTATCAATATTTTATTTAACAGCTTATCTTTTCCTGTCTTAATATTTCAGTTAATTATTTCAGACAAGTCAGAGCTAATCACCTACTTTTTAAATTAGTTTTATCTTCATGGTTATTGCTGTCTCTGACCACAACCAAAATAAATGGTCATACCATGATGTAGAATATAGGTCAAAATTTTATTTTATGTATTATATTCTTATTTTCTTTTTCTAAGTAAGATAAAGCATCTTATAAGGGTACAATGATCCCATCAACTAAAAAAAAAAGCTAGATGAAACCCAATTCATCAACTCTTGATGGCGTCAGAGACCTGCTAAATAAACATCTAGAAGTGAGAGGGAATGATGCAAGAAGAGGAGAAGGGTGAGGAGATCAGCAGCATTTCTCAGAAGGCGTTTTGTGATTCTGGGTGCAGGACTGGAAACCACCCAGCTGAGAAGTACTGCCGGGGAATTAAAAAACCAGCGGAGCTATTGCAATCTTAAAGCACTGGAGTGATAACAACTGGAGAGCTGAGAGGTCTTGAGCATTAAGTTTCCTACCCTAACATGGTTATATGTAAATTCTGAAGCTTCACAGAGTGAAAACAAAAAAGAAATCTACTAAAAAAAAAAAAAAAAACACTAAACTAAAATTAATCTATGTTAGAAGCTAGGATTGCAGTTACCTTTGGAAGTGAGGGAGTTTGAAGGGGGCTTGAACATTTCTGGTAAGGTTCTGTTTCTCGAACTAGGTGATTTTTGCAAGCTTTATTCACTATGTGACCATTTATTAAGCTATATGCTTATTATTTGTGTAAGTTTCTATAGTATATTTCATGTATATATGTACATGAAGAGATACATATACAAGAAGCATGTTTCATGCATAAACGTAGAGACACATAAATGTTTTAGGTATATATTTGTTTGTATGCACATATACAGAACACGCATTTCTTCTATTATTCTTTCATGTCAGTAAAAGTGGTTCCTCTTAATGTTAAAAGTTGTTAAGTATGGAAAATTCAAGATTTTTACAGTCTAAGTCATTGGGGGAGAGATATCCACTCAATCAGTTAAGTTCAGTGTCTCAGTCATGTCTGACTCTTTGTGACCCCATGGACGGCAGCACAGCACTCCAGGCTTCCCTGTCTATCCCCAACTCCCGGCACTTGTTCAAACTCATGTCCATCAAGTTGGTGATGCTGTTCAACCATCTCACCCTCTGTCTTCCCCTTCTCCTCCTGCCTTCAATCTTTCCCAGCATCAGGGTCTTTTCCAGTGAGTCAGTTCTTCACATCAGGTAGTCAAAGTGTTGGAGCTTCAGCTTCAGCATCAGTCCTTCACATGACTATTCAGGACTGATCTCCTTTATGATGGACTGGTTGGATCTCCTTGCAGTCCAAGGGACTCTCAAGAGTCTTCTCCAACACCACAGTTTAAAAGTATCAATTCTTTGGCCCTCAGCTTTCTTTATAGTCCAACTCTCACATCTGTACATGACTACTGGAAAAAACAAAGCTTTGACTAGACTGAATATTATATATTTATATAGAAATTACTATGAATAAGAGGATTGTTACAAAATAAAATGTGTAACAACAATCCTATCAGTGGTAAGTACAGCTTCTTTGGCATTGTTGACCCAAACACGAATTTTGAAAGAAGTCATAGAAGCATTTGTTGTTGTTGTTGCGCAGTCATATCCAACTCTTTGTGACCTATGGACTGCAGCACAACAGATTTCCCTGTCCCTCACCAACTCCTGGAGTTTGTTCAAACTCATGTCCATTGAGTCAGTGATGCCATTCAACCGTCTCATCCTCTGTCATCCCCTTTTCCTGCTGCCTTCAATCTTTTCCAGCATCAGGGTCTTATCTACACATAGAAGCTTAGATATTATCAATGTTCAAATGGGAATATTCCTCATATCTAAACCCTAAAGAACATTTCCTAACACAGTAGAGTCCCAAAATTATATCTGAAGGAAAGGGCACCACAGAAATAAACCATTTTTAATGGGAATTGTTTAGGCACCATTCATATGATCATACATAACCGTGCACTGTACATTTTTAAATGAAAATGGACTCAGGCAAATTATAGAGATGTGCAATAGATAAGGGTCACAGTCATATTACTACTAACAAAATTTTGTGACACTCAGATACAAAAAATAACAACACAAGGTATCATCTTTACTGTACCTTCCTTCATTTATTTCCTCTTCTCATACATTTACATCAAGTTGAAAAAAACTAATAGTATTTTACATTGTGAATCATATTTAAAATGGCCAATATCAATAAATTGGACTATGTTCTTATTTTCAATGAGTTCTGTAGTATTCTTTTTTTTTTCCCTCTAAACTATATCTAACATCTATTCACCCTTTACTATGTGCCAGGTAGTGTTTTATATACTTTATGTTCATTAAATTATTTTATCTGCAGAAAAAAATACAAATAAACAGTATGTCATAGCTGCTTATATAATTTTGTCTAAATAAATGCAGAAATCAAGTGACAAAGACATGGGGACATCCAATATTTGTCAAATAACTCTCAAGTGGAAGTACAGGTATTCTAGGGAGGCACTCTCCTCCAGAGTCTCTTACCCTGTGTTCATAGTGCTTCTCAAATTTAAGCCAATTTGATTTCAAATAACAATGAAAGCTAAATTAACTTATATGCAGCATGCTTCACATTATAGTATTCTTATTTTCACCTGGAAGATTTTCAAATGATTTCAGTACTTCGGTTTCAATCTTCATTTAGGGAAGTATTTCTCAGAATTCAAAAGAAGATATATTTGGATTTTTTTTTCCTTTTCCTAAATTCTATCCCTACTATAAGACTTTACGGTGACATTTGTCCACAGTGTTCTCTTGACTTTAAAACAAAACAAACAAAAAATTTAATTGAAGATTTACTAGAGAACAGGAACAGTGAAAACATAAAACTATTGTAGAGTTTAAAAAAAAAAGAAAAGAAAGTCCTGGAAAAGAAAGTTGAATCTCCACCTAATGACCTTTTCCCCCTAAAGCAAGTCAGAAACTATAATTAATTC